CACCCCAGGCAGAGGCCCCTGGCTCCTCTCAGCCCCATGAGGCCAGAGGGAACAGTAGTTCTGGTGGCAAGAAATGCTACAAGTTGGAGAATGAAAAGCTGTTTGAACAGGTGAGCTTTAGGGGAGAAGATTCTTGTACCCCAGGGAGAGGGGTGGCTGACTGGCTCTCTGTACTTTCTTTCCCACTAATCCCACCTTGCCTTCTTTCTCTCAATCCCCTCCCTTGTCTCTTCCCCCTCCCGTCTTCCCCTAAACCCTCCAGTTCCTTGAACTGTGTAAGGCGCAGACAGCAGACCACCCTGATGTGGTCCCATTCCTCTATAAACGGCAGCAGCGTGCCCACTCTCTGTTTTTGGCCTCAGCGGAGTTCTGCAACATCCTCTCTCGAATCCTGTCTCGGGCCCAGAGCCGACCAGCTAAGCTCTATGTGTACATTAATGAGCTCTGCACTGTTCTCAAAGCTCACTCAGCCAAGAAAAAACTGAACCTGGCCCCTGCTGCGACCACCTCTAGTGAGCCTTCTGGGAGTAACCCTCCTGCAGACCCCTCCTCAGATCCCACAAATGCCGAGACCACTAGCTCTGAGGCCTCAAGGACCCGTGGTTCCCGGCGGCAGATTCAGCACTTGGAGCAACTGTTAGCACTCTATGTGGCAGAGATTCGGCGGCTGCAGGAAAAGGAGTTGGATCTCAAAGAATTGGATGACCCAGACTCCACATACCTGCAGGAGGCAAGGTTGAAGCGGAAGCTGATCCGCCTCTTTGGGCGGCTTTGTGAGCTGAAAGAGTGCTCTTCACTGACAGGCCGAGTCATAGAGCAGCGCATTCCCTACCGTGGCACCCGCTACCCAGAGGTTAATAGGTGCATTGAGCGGCTCATCAACAAGCCAGGGCTTGATGCCTTCCCTGACTATGGAGATGTGCTGCAGGCCGTGGAGAAGGCAGCTGCTCGGCACAGCCTTGGCCTCCCCCGACAGCAGCTCCAGCTCATGGCTCAAGATGCCTTCCGAGATGTGGGCATAAGGTTACAGGAGCGACGCCACCTTGATCTCATCTACAACTTTGGCTGTCACCTCACAGATGACTATAGGCCAGGTAGGGATTAGTGAGATGCCCATCAGTAACCCTTATATGTCAGGTGTGTGGTAGAGAGGGCATTTCTCTAGTCCCTTCTTCTAGGGTTTGGGCTGAATACTCTGACTTTATATCTTCCCACATAGGCATTGACCCTGCACTGTCTGATCCCGATCTGGCCCGGCGCCTGCGGGAAAACCGGAGCTTGGCTATGAGCCGGCTGGATGAAGTCATCTCCAAATATGCGATGATGCAAGAGAAGAGTGAGGAAGGAGAGAGACAGAAGAGGAAAGCCCGGCTCCCCCAAGCCACCTGTTCCCATTCTCCAGATCCCCCCAAAGCCTCCTTGGATTCTGGTGAGGTGTGGAAGGGATACACCCTTTAGAGAAACCCTGTTCTTCCCCTGCACTGGCCATCGGGAGTCCAGGGTTACTGATGGGGGAGTTTGCAGAAGGAACACAGACCCAGATGCTCTGGGGCAAGGGATTTCTTAGAGAAACTCCTTTGTCCCCCAGGGCCCTAGTGGAATGACATCCCAGGAACACCCTACCTCCTCCAAGGCTGAAACAGATGATGAAGAAGATGAGGAAAGTGATGAAGAGGAGGAGGAGGAGGAGGAGGAAGAGGAGGCTACAGATTCTGAAGAGGAGGACCTGGAACCGATACAAGAAGGTCAGGAGGAGGAGGAAGAGGAAGAGGAAGAAGCAGGTATGTCCAGGAAAGTCTTTTCGTGTGACAGCTCCCTCTACTCTTGGGCATGAGCCACCTGTTTGATACCCTTGCCTTCCTCCTCTTAAGCCTAGTGTCTTCTTGTCAGTATTCTTTCTCCTAGTCCTCATGCTACCCCTCCCCTCTTTTCTCTTTTCCAGGTAAGGATGGAGACAAGAGCCCCATGTCCCCACCACAGATCTCTACTGAAAAGAACTTGGATCCTAGCAATGGGATAAATAGGTCTTCACGGGACAAATACAACAAAGGACTCATAGTGTCACCATCTTCACTGTCAGAAGAGCCCCTGGCACCCTCCAGTATAGATGCTGAAAGCAATGAAGAATACCTCGAAGAGTTGCCCCTGGAGAAAGAGAGCCCTGTGTCTCAGGTCTTTGAGCTAGAGATTGAAGCCTTGACTGTGGATACCACCCCTTCCCCTGAGGAGGGGGACATTTCCTCTTCCAGGAAGCAACCAGAGGACACCCTCACCACTGTCTTGGAGAATGGAGCAGCCATGGTCACCTCCACTTCCTTCAATGGAGGTGTCTCTCCTCACACCTGGGGAGATTCTAGTCCCCCCTGTAAGAAATTTCGGAAGGAGAGGCAAACAGGAGCAGGGCCTTTAGGAAACAGGTAAGAACAGGGAGGAAGAGGGAAGCCAAGGAGGGATTGCAGGGGGCTTTCCAAGAGGATTATTGAGGAACTGAGTCTGCTGGGAGAGACTGACACTCCCCCTCCAGCCCCAGGCTCCCTGTTTTTATGTTTTTGTCCCTAGGTACGTGGAAGGGCAAAGGGAAGTACATGAGCTGACTAGGAAGAAGATATGTACCGTGCCCAGTCCACCTTCCCCCGTGACTTCCATGGCCCCAGTTGCTGATTCCTCAACAAGGGTGGACTCTCCTAGCCATGGCCTGGTGACCAGCTCCCTCTGTAGCCCATCTCCAGCGCAGTTGGCCCTAACCCCCCAGTTACAACCCTCCCAGCCTGGTACTTACAAGGTAAGAGAGGGAGGCTGTTTTTCCTGACTTCATTCTCTTTCAGTGTCTGTTCATTTTCAGGTGTTCCCTCTGAATATTGCACTCACCACATCCTCTCTCTCCCTTTTTCTTACCCCACTTTTTAATCTTTGATAAGTCCTTCCCTCTGTTTCTCCTCCCCCTATATTCCAGACCTCTCTGACTCTGTCTCTCACTCCCTTGCAGATGAGTGTGGCCACACAGTGCGATCCAGAGGAGATCATCGAGCTCTCAGACTCTGATTAGCTGCCTCCCCACCACTTCCCGACTCAAATGTTTGGGGATAGTATTTGGAGGATGGTGGGAAGCAGATGACCGAGGAAGGGATGGACTGAGCTAATCCCCTTTTGGTGGTGTTTCTTTTTAAAAAAACACACCACAAAAACAAGTTTTACACAAAACAATAAACAATAAAGTTCTTTTCTTATTGTATCCCTTTCTTTTCTTTGTTCTCTGGCTCAGGGTTAGCCCGGCCCCGGGGTAGCCCTAGATCTATCCTTTCCAGCCTGCGCTTAGCCCCGCTCTCCTAGAGTTTCCTTGCCTTCAAGTTCTAACCTTGCCCTTTGCCAGGCACTAAAAAAATTGTGCTTCAGCTCTACTTTCCCACTTGGAGCGGTAGGAGTAAAAAGGCCAATCAGGGGCCGACTCAAGGTTATTTGGCCAATCCAGGCCCGGAGGAGCGGGGCGGGGCTTCAGGGGGACTGTCAGAAGCTGGGAGGCTAAGGCGATTAGATCCCGCAAACCCGCCAATGGCCACAGCTCCGAGGCCAAGACCCATTGCCAATGGGAAGAGGCAGGCCTACAGAATTAAAGGAGAATGAGTGCTTCAGCAAAACCAAGTTCAGAGCCCAGCGGCGGAAGAGACCTGGTACCTTTAAGGTGGAATGAAGCAACTGTGTTTTAAAGAAGTGACCGAGTCGGCCGAGTATTGCCCAGCGGCACGGGCGGGGTGCCGGCCTGTGCCTTTAAAGTCGGAGGGGCAGGAGGCGGAGCGGAGGCGGAGGGCGGAGGGAGTCGGCGCAAGATGGCGGCGGGAGGGGC